CATGCTCGGATAGGATGGATAAGCCTGTGGAAGTACCTCTCCATCCACTGATGGCAGAGCTGGCCAAAGTTTAGCTACCCCAACTTGAGCTAGCAATAAGGTGTGTGAGATAAATCCTCCCGTCTGTCCCTGCTGACCAGTCACCACTATCACCCCTCCCCCCTTACCAGTGCCTTGACAGCTTCCCCTTCAGTTTTCAAGACCTGGAATGGGGACTGCAGACTCATAGCTCTTGAAGTGCTGTCCATGGGCATGAACCAGTTTCGTAACATCTCCTAGTCTCTGAAGAGGATAAATATTTTATCAATAGTAAAGGCTAGGCTGGAGGAAAGAAGGAAAGACTCTATAAAATTGGATGGGAAAAATCTCTAAATGCTGAGGCAAAGATCATGCCAAGGAAGTAAGAGAAGCAAAAGGAAATAAGTTCTTTCAGCTGAGGAAGGGAAAAGCTCCTCTTCGTCCCTTTGGATCAGTCTGAGATAATAAGGCTGCCGCCTTTCTGATTAGTGCTCTGTGGCCTCAACCCAGGCAGAGGAAATCTGCATTTCAAATGGCATATTTTAAAGTACACAATACCCAGGGGCCCTGCTGCTATTGATTTGCCTCTGGTGGGGTCACTGCCTCACTTTCTACAGCTTTATTAACTGGGACCATACATTGGGCCTCTTTCAAAGTGAAAAGAGAGTGGATGGGACATTTTTTTCAGAGGGAGCTGGGGAAGTATTGGAGTGACTTTTATTGGGAATGCCCCAGAGGTTTTATAAGGAAGACTGGTGACCCTTGCAGGACTTGCCCTCCTTTTGTAAATTTCCCTGGAGTCAACCTGGGAGGAAGGAGGTTGATCTATGTTGTCAGCTTCTTTCAAGGTGACCGAGTTCCTGTCCTCCAACCCTCTTGATGCTGCTGCACTCAGCTGGGCTCTGACCATCAGCCACTGGGCTGGAAAGGACCCCTCTCTCCTCACCCTTGAACACGTTTCTCTGAGCAACTCCAGCCAGAAAGACAAAGGCATGAACAAGAAATGTGGCCAAAGAAGGGTGGCAGTAGTGTTGCCAAGTGTAGAGATATTCAGACATGGTTGAGCCATGGTTGGGGTCTCCGCTCTAGCCAAAGAATCAAAGCCAGCTAGCTGGGTTACATGGCCATGTTCAGGTATGGGATACTCCTTCCAACTCCGGAGGAGACCCTCATCTACCCCATGGGCTGGCTCTGAAGCCTTCAGCAATATGCATGTCCTCTGAGTCATGAGATACAGGGACCCAGATCATTTCACCATTTCAAGGAGGTTTCCATGTTTCCAGAGCATCTTTAGTATCCCCAGAGCACTGAGAACAACTAAACTGAGTAACTGCTCACTGCATGATGCCTTCTGTAGCAGAAGCAACTGAAGCTAGTTTCCAAATTCAAAGGCTAGCACCTTAATTACTACCTTATTTTTACAGCATTAGCTTTTTAACCCTAAGTTAAGTTTAACCTTCTTGCTCCAGAACCTCCTAATTTAGTCTTGTTGGGAGTATGTCCAGTTTTAAGTGAATATTTCACTGAAACTCATCAGGCTTTAGTCTGCAGACCATCCACCTTCAGCACTAATGAACAGATTACAATCATCTTCTTCTCCTAAGGAAAAAGAAAATGTTTTCTTCTTTCTGAGGTTCTATGACAGAAATGCATGAATGACATTACACTACAAGAAGGAGCATGTATTTAGACAATGTATAGTCTACCAAAACTCATCTTCCACTGTAAACTATAAACCCTCTGAATGCAAAAGAAGCTGAACACTCAGGTTACCCAGTTTGCAAACCAGGAGGAGCACCTGCCATTGTGGAGTTAACTCTGAATAGCTTAGAGACATCATAGGAAGGAACCAAAGTTGCATAAGCCATAAATAATGTCACAAGTGATTGCCTGGATCTGCTGAGTGCAAAATGGAGATTGTCTTTGGATCAGCACAATTGTTTGTACTACCATTGACAAAGCAGCATCTTTTAGATAGAACCCCGTTTCCTTTCCAGCATAGGTGAAAGGCAAAGGAAAAAATAATTCACTCTTTTCTTTTAAATGGTTGGGAACCAAAATCCAAAAATATACACTGGGGGCCAAGAAAGGAATTGAGAATTATATCACCTGACTGTGTTTATATGTGCAGCTGAACTGAACACCTGGGGCCGTACATATAGTCAACAGGAAGAAACAAATCTGCAATTCATCTGCCCAGAGGTGTTTGGGTACAGAAGGTGGAGATGAATAGCCTTCACCTAGGCTACTCTGCCTGTTATCACATCTGTATTTAAACTAGAGTCTGTATTTAGTTTACTGAATCTGACAAAGGGATATACCAAAAAAACGTAGTCCCTTGCCTGCTTTAAAAGGTGTCTAATACAAGTACCAGTCTGTTCTCTGCAAGCTAGACTGACCATGGCACACATATGACCAGCCATATGGCACTCAGTGTTTTGAGGTTGGTTCCTTCATGCAGCTCTGATCAGCTTTGGAGAAATATGGAGGGAAGTCAGCAAAGGCCAGACTGAGACTTTCCCAAGCCCTTTCAACTGCATTCATCTCAAATAGATTCTTCTTTGATTAGCAGTACTAAACAGATCTGAACAATACAGATCTTGGCCATCTTTTCTGTCACTGGTCAGTTCTATCTTCTGCTGTCCCCGGGTGAAAACACATAGAATAAAAAATGACATATGGGTCAGCACACTCAGTGCTGGAGTCAATCCATTGTTAAAAATGGATAGATTCCTCCTTCCATGTTTACTTCATTGGCATATTTACTAAAATCACCCCTTCAATGCCTCCCTTGGAGAATAAACTCAAATGATGCCTGGAAAAAAATGTACTCCTAAAAGGGGAATCAGCATTGTGTGCTGTAATAGAAACGATAGTCTAATCACTCCATCAGTAATTACAAAGAACAGGATATCACTAATTGAATTGTGAAAGTGTCTTATGGAGGGTATAATAAAAAAAAGTAATTAACAATCAAAGGGAAAGCCACCACCTTGCCACCAATCTGCATTAGGCTTCAAAAAATAATAGTACTCAACTCTACAACAGCAGTTTTCATGTGTAGATCTGAAGGCAATCCTACATGGGGAGGCAGATATCCTGTGTCCCATTTTATCAGCGGAGAAACCAAGACAAATTTACACAACTTTTGCATGATTATACAGCAGGTCGGTGGCAGAGAATCATTACTTTGGTCTCTTTACCAATAGTTGCAAGAGAAGTTTCAGCATTTGAATGAGTGCAGTAATGTCAAGGATTTTATTATTTTTTTTTTTGCTATGTATGTGTATGAACACTAATTTATGTGATGTTTCAATACTGAACCAAACATTACAGAATAGCCTGTTCCTTGCCATGACTTTTTAAGTCTCTTTCATGTTGAGAAACATGTTCCATGTGCTTAAACAACAACATTAGAGGGTTATTTCCTGATGGGAGAGAGCATAAAATCACAGAGAGCAGCAAAACAGATGAACTCCAATTCTGGAGACAGCGAAGACATGAGCCACTTCTAAAATCACTACAGAAAAAACAGCTTCCTTTTCCACTGTTATCAAGTCACATGTTACCAGAGGCTAGGGAATTAAGAGAGTGAAGCTTTGCTCTCTGCTCATCCTCTTTCCTCCATGCTTTTTCTAAATGCCAACACTGGTCACTAGTGGGGGTTGGATTCAGACTCAAACCTACCTTGTCTGGCTTCTTGTACAACCCCAGGGAAGGAGATAAGAGACAGCTTCACCTAGCCTGCCTTCTCCTTTAGACCTTTTTACAAGCCCACTGTGGCTGTACTATACACATGAGCTGCACTGACTGTGTGCTAGGTTCAGAGTGTAAAATAATGATAGAAAAGTCTGGTTTTAATGTAAGAAGCATTTCCAGATCCAAAATGTTTAGTCCCAAGTGCCTGAAAACACAGTCTGTGTTCCTTCCTTCTGCCTTTTGTAGGTTTCCTAAAAGAGGCAGCATTTTGATCCCTCTCTGGGGTATCAAGGAAAGCCTCATCAGATCAAAACAGGGAAGTGATTTTCCCAATACAGAGTATAGATCTTGCTAAGCAGGAGGGGATCTCACTTCCCTTGTACAGGTCTTCTGGGATCCTCTGCTTGGTTGTGTTGGAAGGAGATGCTATAATCTGGTTAGAAGATTTGGTCATGATTTTGCTTAGTCCCCACCAGAGGCCTCCCAGTAGCAGCAGAAAAAAACAATTGTCACTGACAGGTGGAAATAAACCAGGTTATCCCCACAGAACTAAACTTGCTGCTCTGGAGAAGACATCCCTTCTCTCCATCACTCCACATACACTGGTCTCACATCAGCAGCCACCAGTGCTTTCCCGGAGCTTTGACACAAGTAATGTAAGCCATGAAACCTCTCTGCTTGGGATCATACAAAGTCTTTTCTCTGCCTTTCTCATCGGGGAAGTACCAGCAGGTAAGATGGTTGAGTCTGGGGATGAGGGGGAGTGATAGGATGAGAGGGAACCATTTCAAACTGAAAGGGTAGATTTAGATTGGATATTATTAATAAATTATTTCCTGTGAGAATGGTGAGACACTGGCCCAGGTTTCCCAGATAAGCTGTGGCTGCCCCACCTCTGGAAGTGTTCAAGGCCAGGTTTGATGGGTCTTGGAGCAACCTGGTCTACTGGGAGGTGTCCCTGCCCATGCAGAGGAGCTGGAACTAGATGATCTTTCATGTACCTTCCAACTCAAACCATTCTGTGATTCTATGAGTCCAAACTCACAGAAGAACTGCACACTGGGGAACACATCATGAGACTGGGAACCATAAAGACCCCAAGATGTAAAGACGCACTTAGCCTTCAGCCTCTATAGATAGAAGGAAAGCCATGGCATGGTGATCTCACATCTCAAAACAGAGGGATGGCTCATGCCCTCACCAGTTCCCCACCCCGCTGCCGGTGCCGTGGGCTGCCCAGCCGGTGACTGCGTGATATTTTTTCCCTGCTCTCTTTGTTCCAGCTGATGCAGCAGCAGGCCGCGATCATGGCATCGGTGGCGCAGGGTGGCTACCTGAACCCCATGGCAGCCTTTGCCGCAGCCCAGATGCAGCAGATGGCGGCTCTCAACATGAACGGCCTGGCAGCCGCCCCCATGACACCAACCTCAGGTAAGGGGCCAAGGAGGTGGAGAGGGTGAAGGGCAAAAACCATCTGGGCATATCCCAGAGGAGACCTGGCAGGACATACTAGCTGACAGGTTCTCCTTCACTGAATGTTTACTGAAGTGTTGGTCTGGTTGGTGAGGGCCACCAGCAGTGACAAGTGGAGCTGACTGAATCTTTCTGTGGCCTGGGAGAGAGGGAAAAAGACAGAAAAAAGCTGTGACTGTGTATTCTAGTTTATGTAAGGGCAAAGTCAGCAGTGGGCTGTTGGGCTAGCTGTGCCCCATGCAAAGTGACACTCACTGGTGGAGGAGAAAGCCAGAGGGCTCACTAGAGCAGGATGCAATGGGCTTGCCAGGAAGGATGGAGGGTGCTTCCAGGGAAGGCACTGGAAAGAGTTCTCAACCATGACTCTTCCTTCTTTGCCTTAACCCTTACACAACTTTCCTTTAGCACTTATCACCCTCCAAATGACCACTGGTTTACTGATGTTGCATATAGATGTCCAACTGGTCAGTGCTGGTGCTGTCACAGCCAGGCTGGTCTACAGACAAACAAAATAAGGTTTGTGGTTAGATGCAACATCATGAACAAGATGAGATATGTATTTTTAATACATAAGCCTTTTTCCTATTGTGAAATAGGACAGAGGTATTCAGGGAAGACCTCTGGTGCTACCTGGGATGCAAGTGTTTGGTAGGAGGGTTTCTAGGCCCTGGAGCAGAGACAGATAGTCAGTGAAGAACTTTCAGGATCTGGATAGACTGTGAGGTTTCACAAGAAACCCATGCTAGGAGCTGCAGTGTATAATTCAACAGGCAGAGAAGTAAACTGAAACGTAAACAGGACTGGGTTTTCTGTGGCTTGAAAAACAAGAAAATAATTCAGGCACCAACAGGCCAAGGAACTGGCAAGGTTGATAGTCATGGAGCAGCGTGCGGGAAGCAGGGCATCAGGGAAAGTGGGGACAAATCATGAGAAAAGAGAAGTGAGAATTTAGAGAGCTTTACAATATACCACTGAGACTGGAAAGGGAGCAGAGGACTCAAAGTTACATCTTCAGAGGACCATTTCCACAGGACAGGTTGGGATAAAAAAGTCCATGGGGTAATGCAGGTTAATCCTATGAGATGCAGTGGGATTGGGACCAATGCCTTGTGTTAACCTTAAAGAATCAAGCTGGCCTGGAGGGAACCAGCTTGACCAAGGTTTGGGGTGAGACATGGGAGGAGTGAGCCATGCCTGAGACAGCTGTGGTGCAGGCAGCATTTGGCAGAACAGGACCTGGGAATCTAGAGCAGAGCAGTAGGAGAGGAAAGGGGCAGCTTCGTTGACAAACATGACAAGGTCTGTACCAGCCCTGGAGCAGGAAAAAGCCATCTGAGGAAGCAGCCAGGAAGGATGTCTTCTGGCTGAGAAGCAGTGGATGGCAGGAAGATAAGGCACAATAGCAGAGCAGGCTTGAGGGCTGTTCTTAATGAACTGAGTTCTGGTAACCTGTCTGCCAAAGGAAATTTCCCTGGTCACACACAGGTTAGTATCTCTTTTCAGTCAGCAGCTGGAAACAGTGTTAGCTAGCAGCCACTAGAATCAGATACCTATATTTTCCTTTTCTTGCATTAGAACATGAGGAGGAAGAAAAAGGAGAGAAAGAAATACAGATCTCCTTCCCCAAGAACTTACAGAGACCCGAGGAAAAGTGCTTGACACAAAAATCTTACAGCACACATTTCAAAATATATGTTTACCCAACAATAAATGTATAAACAACAAGCCGATGGAGCTACTGCAAATCCAAATAGAAAAGTGGTTTCATTATATGTGCACCCTTTAAACCCACTGCTGGAAAGATTATCCTATTTGCATTAGCTAGATTTGTTTTCTATTGGCAGGAGCAGAGAGAACGTCAAACAAAGACTGCTTGGAATTCAAATGCTCTCAGGGTCTGGAAAGCTGAATCCAGGCAGTTTGTGACAGCCCCACCACAAAAGAGCAGAAGGTCTTTTGCATGTAAATCAGTCTTGAGAATGAGCAAGTTGTGTGACATAGGTGTGCAAACACCAGTACAACAGCCTAATTCTGTGCCTACCATGATATCCAACACATGAAAAATATCCCAGCCCTTTTGTCAATGTGAGCTCTGCTCCTCTTCTGTGGTGCCCAGTGCCTTTTGGGGAGTCTTATTGTCAGAATACAGGAGAGGAAAGCTCATGTTTTTTACATGCTTTCTAAAACACCCATGACTGGTCATTATTGAAAATGAGATGCTGGTTTAGATGATCCCTTGATCTCTTCCATTGTGGCAGTTTTTGCGCTCTCCTTATGACATATTTTCAATCACAGAGCCTATGCACTTGGGCATTATTACAGATTTACCTTGAAGGGGTAGCTTCCTTCATGAAAAAAACCCTGTAACAGGTTGTGGAAATGTTCATTGGAAATTATTCCTTGGGTGAAATGCTTAGACTTTGAAATTACTCCTTGTATTACAACAACACTGACAAAGCTTGTGATAAGATGGATAGAAAATGTTTCACACAACCTCTGAGCAAGCAAACCTACAACACTAACAGCAATTTCTGAGTAGCCAGGAGATATCTGAAGCCTTAACGTGAATCCTCCTGCTGTCTTTTGTTAGCATTCAGAAAGCCAAATGGAAAATGATCATTCTGCTTCATAGCAGGACTTCCAGCCATTGAAGTATATCTTTGTTCTGACTTGGAATGAAAATGAAACATTTCAAAGTTCTCTGAAAAACAGGCATTAGAAAAAAGTGTTTGGAATGTTGGTTTTTTGGGTTTTGGGTTTAAAAAAAAAAAAAAAAAAAAAAAAAAGTGTTTTGATCGTTCCTAAGCAAAAGAAAAAATATGTTAGAAAAAGAACACTGGTAACTCAGAAGTCCTAGAGGCTCTGGAGGTAGTGGCTGAGTGCGGTGCCTCTGTGCTGGTTTCTTCAGGCCTCCTAACCCAGCTGCTTTTCCATGCATCCTGCCTCTAGAAGAATGGGTTCCTTGGTGTATAGGCGTGAGTTCATTCAGGCTCATGAGTTCCCATGAGACCTATGAACTTGAAGAGTTTTGTGTTCAGGCAAATCTAACAGACTAGAGAGGGGATCCATCTCACCTTTCTTCAACCACACAAACATGAGATATCTAGTTTAAACTAGTCACTTATTTTGCCAGGTGCCAATGCAGTGCAAGAGGTAGTCCCAGTGGGTAAGTAATCCAGGCCTTAAAAATTTTATGCTAATTTCTGGAATTTTGACATTTCTCCATAAAGAGTCGGGTTCATCTCACACAATGGTCCATAATTGCAAGGCAATTAAATTGACAGCTCTGAAAGTTTTGTTCAAGTTTTGCATTTCTCCCATTATTGTTATAATCTGGATGAAATGTGCGTCTGCAGAGGGTCTGCCACTCTGTTAACTGATCAGAGGGTACAGAAATTAAATGCCATTTAGAATTCCTTCCTTCTCTTCTCCCTCCTTCCCTCCATGTTGTAAATCTGCATCTGGTATAGCTGCAGAAAGAAATCTCAAACCAGGGATGAAATCCACAACTGGCATGCACCACTGCCATTTGTTCTCTGTGGTGGCTTTATGCCAGTTTTACTCCAGCTACAGATCCAGCCTCTCCAGGGAGGTTCTTTCTAAGCAGAAAAAGAATTGCAACACACATGCTTAAACTTCCTTAAACATGCACAAAATAACAATCACAAATCTCTTACTGCAATTTAAGAAGAAAAAAATTCTTACATTTTCTATGAAAAATGAAGAAGAGATCCAGAAAAGCAACTGAAATTTTAACTAGCCTTTGTGATTTGCAAGCTAATGGCATATGCTGAGAGCATTGCCTTTGGATTTCAGTTGCCACTGCTGGCTCCCTATACCTCCACAGAGGACATTTTTAAAGGCCAACACCATTTAAATAAGCAATGGGGAAGCAGCAGCTTGTCTGCTCAGAGTATAAGAAAAGAGCTGAAATATTGCCTGCTTTTTGGGCTGCTCAAATCACATCATATTAAAACATCTCATGCATCTCTATTGGCTTTCTTAAAGCACCAACACAGATTTAAGCAGTTGTTAAATAGTTATTTGGACTAACCCATCGTGGAATGCTGTAATGGTGAAGAACATTTCTGCAAGTGGTTTAAAAAAGAGTTTACTGCAAAAATAGTGTTTTCAATCAGTAGTATACCCTGATACAGAAAAGATATTACTGTAGATAAGATAATTTAACTTCCCACTCACAGTTAGCAAGAGAAAAATGCTATTTCATACTTACTGAAAACTCATTTTTGGTTCCCAAAAACATCCCAAATATGTTGCAAGAAAAAAAGATTGCCCAGTCATTTCAAACATACATAGGAGCAGACAGTGAAGCAGCAGAAGGTTTAAATTCTCTCCTCAGAAATGTAAGAATTCTCCTCTACCAGTGGGTGACAGGATCCCACTTGACCATAAAGACTGAGTTGTTCTTCTGAAATAACAGCATTACAGTTCTCTACTGGATGCATATAGGAAGATGAAGAGGAGTACAATTCCATTGAAGAAACAGGTCTTGCCCAAATTTGTCCATGTTGAGTAGGAGTTCTCTGCTAAAACTCTACAAAGTCAAGTTTGGACTAAACAGTGACATTACAAAAAAATATTGCTAGTTGTCTTTAGGCTATGAATCAACTTGCAGAACTTTAAAGAATCCCTGGTGCTGAGAAAGTTCAGAATGAGTTTGTACATGAAATGTGTATTCATGAGAGAGAAAAGAGTAGTCCTGGAAATCAGTATGCCCACAAAGCTGTCATCTCTGAAAAGAAACTGAGAAGAACTTCTTCTGAAAGGTCGGGCTGAGAATTTGCTTCTGATGCTAAATGATATCCCTGAAAGAAATATCTGTTTATTTAGCAATCTAAACAGGTAATACTCCAGGGCGAAAGTTGATGAGGAAGGGTGGTATTTCTGTAGTTTTCTGTAGTGTTTAATGATAGCTGTGGGTCTAGTCTAAAGACCATGATCACCAAGCAAAAGCTTCATTCTGTTAAAGAAAGTATTGCAAGACTTATTGTATCTTTTCAATAGTGAAAGGAGGCTCATATGGTGACAAACATTTCAGCAGGGGCTGTTGTTAAAGGACAAGAGATAATGGTTTCAAACTGAAAAATGGTACATTTAGGCTAGGTATTAGTAAGAAATTTTTTACTATGAGGGTGATGAAACACTGACACATCTTGTAAAGAGGTGCCCCATCCCCAAAAACTTATAAGGTCTGGTTTGACGGAGCTCTGAGTAATCTGATCTAGTTGAAGATGGCCATGCTCATTGATGGGGTTTGACTACACGACCTTTAAAAGCTCTTTTCAACCCCAAAAATGCTATTATTATTGTTGGTGGTAGTGGTTGATGTTGTTATTATTATTCCAAACAGAGGAGCAATGCCTACGTTCTGAGCAGCTTGGGAGATTTTTAATTTCTTGGACTATCAAAAGATTTCTGTGTGGTGGTCACAGCTGTTGTGCCAGAAGTTTTCTCCATTTTATTACTGCTTCCAGTACTGACCAGCTTGGATTTTGTTCCCTCCCCACTTGCAGGTGGAAGCACGCCTCCTGGCATAACAGCATCCCATCTCCCATTGGAGTGAATGGTTTCACTGGCCTCCCGCCCCAGGCTAACGGGCAGCCCGCCGCAGAAGCCGTGTTTGCTAATGGCATCCACCCTTACCCAGGTAAGCAAGACCAATGTTGTGATCAAAACTCACTTCTTCAGTCCTAGGGAGAGTATTGTGTCCAGTTTTGGGCACCACAATTCAAGAGAGATATTGAGGTGCTGGAGCAAGTGCAGAGGAGGGTAACAAAGCTGGTGAAGGACCTTGAGAATAAACTTTACGAAGAACTCTTGAAGGAGCTGGGAGTGTTTAGTTTGAGAAGGAGAAGTCTGAGGAGAGACCTCATCAGTCTCTACAACTGCCTGAAAGGACATTGTAGAGAGGTGGGGCCTGGTCTCTTCTCACAGGTCATTAGTGACAGAACAAGAGGGAAGGGCTTCAAGCTGCAACAAGGCAGGTCTAGACTGGACATTAGGAAAAAAAAAAAATCACAGAAAGAATGGTTAGACACTGGAACAGGCTGCCCAGGGAGGTGGTTGAGTCATGATCCCTGGATGTGTTTAAGGGTCTTCTGGATGTGGTGTTGGTGGATGTGGTTTAGGGGAGAACTTTGTAGAGATGATGGTTGGACTTGGTGATCCCAAGGGTCTTTTCCAACCTGAATAGTTCTATGATTCTATGATTCTATGTTTACCCATATCCACAAGCTTTGTCTAGCATATGTCACCCCAGAAGGATTGTCCCAGACCATCTAGCATTCTAGCCATTTAGATGCCATTTTAGCATTTAGATGCTAGATCTTACCCAGCTACAGTTCCTATACAATTAAATCTGAAAAAAAATATATATATATATAATAAGGACACTGTGGAGGTGGAAAATCTTTATGCTGAAGAATTGAGTGTGCATCTGCTCAATGACTTGCCTGGTGACTACAATCAGGAGACTCATCATGTCTTCCTGTAGCTAAAATTTGATCTGAGGCCAAACCAGTTCATGCTAGCAGATCTCCTAGTGGTACTCTCAAAAATCTTGGGTTTGGCTAGCTTTGAAGGAGTATCTCCTAGCATCCACCATTGATATTTCCTACTGGGATTCCCCTGCAGCTGGATGGCTGTGGAAAGACAAGGCGAAAGGGTCTGCATGGCTGCTGATCCAAGTTGCTCCAATGTCTCAGACTCTGTGCACAAGCAGTGGGTGTTGGTATCCAAAATGCCTGCTGCATCCAAATACTGTTGCCTTACCAGGTGTATGGAGACTGTAGCTCCTTCAGTATAGCCACAGAATGGGCCCAGCTTCACCCTTTTATGGCACACCAACAATGAACTGCTGCTGGGATTCAAACTGTGACTAGCTCAAAAGATGCTAGCACTGAAGGAGTGATTTTGCAAGCCCTGGCAGTCAGGAGCGAACTAGGGATGTCAAAGAATACATATGTGCCTCTATACCTGTGCTTACAAATATAAAGACACTCTGAGACTGTAATCACCAAGAACTCAGTCCTGAATGTGTACCTATACTTTTTCAGAATCCTGAAGATTTAAGATAGCCCTCTCCTCCAATATGTGCTTCTGCTAGGAAGACATTCCTTCCCATTGCTGTAAACATATTAATAATAACAATCATATCAATAAAATTGTAAAGTAAATGTTACTAATTGATTCTAGCCACTAGCTAGCAAATGAATGTTTTGCCCTGGAGCACTCATAGGTTGATCTAGTCTGACAGGAAATGAAACATTGATTAAGATGGTCCAGCCAAAAAAGCCCACAAATCTCCTCAGGAATAAATAAATAAATTCTTACAATCTCAGCCAGTAGTAAAAACTCAGAAGTTTCAACTTCACAAGGGACTTTATGAGCTACAAGGAAACATATCACATAATGCAGAAAAATAGTCTAATTTATTTACAGTTCAGATAAGGTCACTGAAAAAAAAACAATCTGTGAATGCAGCAAATGAAAGGCCAGAAATACCAAGAGTACTGCAAAATAACTATAATCCTCCTCACAGACACTTTGTAAACATTTAACCATGAGTTCAACTTTAAGCAGAACTGAAATCAAGATGCTTACTGTGCTAACAGTTAGGCTTGTATATCCATGTTTGTAGCAGCTTAGAGGGATGTAGAGCTCTTGGAAGCTATGGAAGCATCAGAAGATTCCAGTGAGCCCTTAGCATGCTCAGTCAGCTCCACCACAGTACCAAGGATGCAAACTGTCTTTATGGTAATGTAAATATTGCCATTTGTTCAAATATCCATCTAAGAACATCCCTGTTTCCCACTCTATCAATCTCTCTGTTTATTCATAAATTTCAATGTCTACCTTTTTTTCTGGTGTATCTAATTTTTTTAGTTAATCTTCAATGGTCCGTTACTGCAGATATCAGAGAAAAAAATTATCTTTCTACATGAATCTTAATGACTTAAGCTTTTGTTACTATCTCCAACTACACCCATAATTAAGGAGACTTTCAGTTACGTATTTCATCCATGATTATATAAAAGTCAGTGGCCTCAATCTGATTCCCTCTGAGTTTTGGAGAGACTCTCTAAGCCAGCAATTCACAGTAAATCCCAACAGCCTAAAACACTGAAAGGTAACAGTCATCCTTGCTCCCATTTGCTTGAGACAGAGAGGGTCTTTTCTGACAGTAAAGCTGACATCAAATAGTCTGCTTTGTGTAACATCTGGATTTATCTCGGCATGTCTTCAGCAGTATATTGGTCTTTCTCAGTGCTCAGCTTTCCCATAACTTAGTGACATCTGAAGTTATAGCAGAGGTGTAAAGGGAACAGTGGTAGGCCAAATCCTCACCTCTCATTTTACTTCTGCCTGTCACCACTAACAATGAAACCTGAAAAGCAAGCCCCTTTGAAGAAGTTTGGGTATAAGACACATTATCTGTTTGCTCTGTCTCATTCTCCTCCTTCTTATGAGCATTTATGCACTCTCCAAAACTTTACTTCCACTGAGATCTGGAGCTTAGTCTGGGTAATGAGAACATCCACAGCCATATCAGACTGGATAAAAATGTAGAAATTACACAAACCTTCATGCTTTAGGATATCAGCAAGCCACCAATTTTTGAGGTTAGAAAGAAATTTTCATCACTGTGCAGCTTATTTCATCATTGCTCATTATGGGATTTTTCACACTTTCCTCTGCAACATCTGTTACTGGCACTGCCCTGTGGTTCTGCATGTCTTTTTCAAAACGCAAGGGTAGAAATAAAATATTAAAGCTGAGCATGCAATTGCACTAACATTATAGAGAAGAAAAGAATATGCCAGTTCCTGTCCAAAGTCAGCATCTTCCAAACAACTATTTTTAGAAGTATATTTTTATTTTGAAAGTGGCTAAGAGTCCTGCAATATTATGTACATAACCATAGTCTTACCATGATTATGACTTGTCATATATTTTTTAAACCCTGAATTTTGTTCTCATATACTCTTTCATACTCCACCAAAACACTACAGTATGGGTTTGCACAATTATATCCTGTACCAGAATGTTGTTTGTTGCCTGAAAACAGGAAAACAGGACAATCAAAATCTGTAGAGGCATATCAACCCCATATTCAGACTCACATAAATCCCATTAGTTGTACAGATGGTCTGCATGTCCATCTTTGTGTCTGGATAAAATACTTTTGATGCTGCATCTAAAGGACTCCAGAACTCCACAATCACTAAGTCCTCCTTGGAACTAAACCTTGCTAGTGAGGTCAAAGACAATAAAGAGGGCTTCTTCAAATATATTGCAGATAGGACTAACTCTAGAGGCAATGTAGGCCCACTGCTGAATGAGGTGGGTGCCATGGTGACAGAGGATATAAAGAAGGCAGAGGTACTGAACGCCTTCTTTGCCTCTGTCTTTACTGCTGCAGACTCTTCCCAGGAGCCCCAGATCCCTAAAGCCTCAGAAGAAGTCAGGATGAAGGAGGAGTTTGCTTTGGTAGATGAGGATTGGGTGAGGGATCAGTTGAGCAATCTGGACATCTATAAATCAATGGGTCCAGATGGAATACACCCGTGGTGCTGAGGGAACTGGCGGAGGTCATTGCTAGGCCAATCTCCATCATTTTTGATAAGTCGTGGGTAACAGGAGAGGTGCCTGAGGACTGGGGGATAGCAAATGTCACTCCAGTCTACAAGAAGGGCAAGAAGGAGGACCCAGGTAACTACAGACCGGTCAGCCTCACCTCCATCCCTGGAAAGGTGATGGAACAACTTGTTCTTGGCACTATCTCTAGGTATAACAAGGATGAGGGGGTCATTAAGAGCAGTCAACATGGTTTTACCAAGGAAAAATTATGTTTGACCAACCTTATAACCTTCCATGAGGAAGTAACTAGATGATTATAGGGCAATAGATGTGGTTTATCTTGATTTCAGTAAAGCATGTGACGCTGTTTCCCATAGCATCCTCATAGATAAACTGAGAAAGTGTGCTCGTGATGATCAGGCAGTGAGGTGGATCATTAACTGGTGGAAAGGAAGAAGTCAGAGAGTTGTGGTCAATGGGACAAAATCTAGTTAGAGGTCTGTGACTAGTGGAGTCCCTCAGGGGTCGGTACTGGGACCAGTGTTGTTCAACATCTTCATCAACAACTTGGATGAGGGAACAGAATGTGCCCTCAGCAAGTTGCTGATGACACTACACTGGAAGGAGTGGCTGACACACCAGGAGGCTGTGCTGCCATTCAGGGAGACCTGGACAGGCTGGAGAGTTGGGCAGGGAGAAACTTGATGAAATTCAAGAAGGGCAAGTGTAGAGTCTTGCATCTGGGGAAGAACAACCCCATGTACCAGTACAGGTTGAGGGCTGACCTGCTGGAGAGCAGTGTAGGAGAAAGGGACCTGGGGGTCCTGGTGGACAGGAGGATGACCATGAGCCAGCAATGTGCCCTTGTGGCCAAGAAGGCCAATGGCATCCTGCAGTGTATTAGAAAGGGTTGTGGTTAGTAGGTCAAGGGAGGTTCTGCTCCCCCTCTGTTCTTCCCTGGTGAAGCCACATCTGGAGTATTGTGTCCAGTTCTGGGCTCCTCAGTTAAAGAAGGACAGGGAACTGCTGGAAAGAGTCTAGCACAGAGCTACAGAGATGATGAAGGGA